AACATTACTGCACGAAGGATGTCAATCCCAGCATCCTCTTCTCTTCTCACCAGGAGCATCAAGAGACTCTGGTCTTAGGAGGTATAAACCACCTGATACGGCTTTGTTTTCAGCATGAAGGCTCGGTGTTGGTGTTACTTATCACATTGGCTTATTTCCTGTGTTTCATTGACTCTGCATGGCCTTTTGTCTTGCAGGACAGGCTCCAATAGATATCCCTCCAGACAACCCCAGGCATTTTGGGCAAGGTGGCTTCTTTTCCACTCTCTGTTGGCAAGGTACTTGCAAGCATTTCTTTAAACTTACACAGTTAGGTGATTGCCACATGGTTCTTTTGTAAAGGTGATGAGTTCTCCAAGCAGCCTAAAGGAAAGCAGCACTTAGAAGTCACCCACGTTCCTCCTTATTTGACACTCTCTTGACTCATGCCTTTTTTAGGTCAGGCAGCGTCTCTCCTTTCAAGACCATAAATGCTTAGACTGATGCAAAAGGCTATTTTGAGCCGAATGCTACCTTTTCTTCTCTCGATGTATTTTGGATCACATTTTTCCTGGCTTTACAAATAAGCATGATCTTTTTTAGGATCTCCCTTTACTCTGCTGACACACAAATTAACTCTATCTCCTGCCCTCAGCTAATATTCTAAAAATATAAAATCTGGCATTGCCCCCAGAGGGCTCTAACCATTAGCGGGGCAGAACTGAGCTTCCCTGGTGCCGGGGAGGCAAACACTTGGCCCATACTTGCTGCTTGCTGTACCAACCATGGCAGAAATCGGGCTCCACCACAAAATACTTCAAATTACTGCTATCAGTAGATTGGCATTCTAATCGATACCCATCTGCCATCCTGTTACCAGCTGGGGTTCTTGGGTTCCCCAAGATGGAAATAAAAAGGAGCCACCTGAGATATTCCCAAATTTTATTAGACTTGCACCAGGTGTGAGGGAGATAGCACAGGAGCACAGGGTTCCCAACTGGCACCGCAAGTGGCTTTGTTGGGTTGTTTTTCATAAGAGGTGGATAAAGTGGGCATGCATAAAAGTTGGGCAAGGCATGATTTTTTCTATGTCAGGGCCCAACCACTTCTTCATTCCTTTGGGTTGCTTAGCAGCAATCTGCTCCTTAGGGCAAGAAGGTGGTGTTGCTCACTACTGCCACTCTAGGAAGGTTATATAGTGGTCAGATCATAATTGTGCATGTGGAACAGGGGTTTCTATATCTGCAAGGAAGTGGAGGGATGGTTGCATTTATGTGGTTATTTTATACGGTGTTCTTTCTGGCTATCTGGCATTCCTTTGGCCCCAGGCCCAAGTCCCTATGCCGTCTCAGTCCTTGCTTTAGAGTGTGCTGAAATTAACTGCAATAATATGAAATGGGTAGGAAACTGGTTTTGGCAATAGTCTACTTACAATTTTCTTGATGGACCCTCCTCAGCTGGCTGTGTGAACATAAGATATTTTTCCCATTGCCTACACAGAATTTCCCGTGTTTGGTGAAAAAATTGTTCATAGAATTCCTTTGAATTGAAAGGCTTATATTCAGAAATAGGACTAATAACATTAAAAAAATGGAAAACTTGGGAAATCTAGACCTCAGGTAGATGGCCGAGCTCCCTCTTGGTTCCCCCATATCTTGTTTTATCACACAAGGGCTTTCAATAAAACTCCATGTTTACCTCTCTACTGCAATTTTAGTAAGTAATCTAGAAATCATTCCTGTCAGGCTCTGAAATAGCACAAATGCACAATTTCTTTTCCTGACTTTGCAGAGCCAGGTGTGTTTAGGAATGCAGAATTTTTTGGATTTTAGTGAGGTGACATGGTACATATGTTGTATATGACTTAGCATTCTCAGGGGCATCTCTGACAACAACTTGTAATCAAACGTACTAACACTTCTGCAGTGAAACATAGAAATAGTAACCCTGAGTGAAACAAATGGAGATTATAAATACTTTCACATCAGGTCTGGTCATATTTTTCTACCAACGTAGGTTGCACCAAACTTAGGAAAAACCTTTCCCTTTTCATAGCTTTTTGCATTTTGGAATTGGGGATAAGGGATGTGCATCTACTTAATTTGAATGTGGATCTATCTATCTGACATTAAATGATAAAGTTCCATAGGAGGAGCTGTCTCAAGGAGGGCCGGAAAGTCACTCACCAGCATCTCTATTCCTTCCCCGGAAGATGCCTCTTTCCTGCTGCCTATTTTATGCTGAAAGTACCTTTCAGGTTGGTGTAAGGACCATCCTAAGCAGAGCCATTCCCTCTATTCCTTCATTAGGTGTGTGGTTCACTTCTGCTCCAGACTGGGGGAGAAAGGCCTTGCTCTTGGCTACAGGCCACAGGGAAAAGTAAAAAACAGAGGAGTCAGCACAGAAATAGGAGCTATTTTTTTTTTCAAAGCACCTAGCATAGTGCCTGGAAGCTAATAACAATAACAATAATTATTATTAATAAGAAACGCTATAAACACATATTACTTTTCTATTGATCTGAGCACTTTCTATATGTATATCATGTCATGTGAATCTCACAGCAGCCATGTGAGTTAGGTAGTATTTATTACCCCCATTTTGCTGAGAGGGAAACGGAGGCACTGAGAAGTAAAGCAACTTTCTGAGTGTCACAGAGCCAGTACGTAGTGGAGCTGGGATCCAAATCCCCCTTATCTGGCTCCAGAGTTTCTGCTCTTCACCCCAGTGCTGTTCTGGACTCTTAGATGTTCAACAAGTGATAACTGAATGTCATGTGAAGTACATCAAGCTTTCCATTGGGAAGGGTCTGAAAGCATTGTTTGCTCAGAACTGTTCCTTCTCTCTTTCTGGAGGGTATATATATATATAAATTATAAAAAACCAACAATGACAGCAAGGCTGTGGCCAGTAGCTAACCATTTGTTGTCATACTGGCCTTTCTTAGATCAGAAATCAGAGAAATCATTCTGTGAGGAGGACCACGCTGCCCTCGTGAATCAGGAAAGTGAGCAGTCAGACGACGAACTTCTGACCCTTTCCAGTCCCCACGGCAATGCCAGCGATGACAAGCACCATGAAACCAAAAAGCCCAGCAAAAAGCAGCAGGAGCCCGCTGCCCCTCCTCCCCCCGAGGACGTGGACCTTCTGGGCTTGGAAGGGTCTACAGTGAGTAAGAACTTCTCCTCACCGGTGGCTCCTCCCACCAATTCTGATCTGCTCAGTGACCTGTTTGGGGCTGCAGGTGCGGCCGGCCCTGCCCAGGCTGGACAGTCCGGGGTGGAAGACGTGTTTCATCCAAGTGGACCTGCATCTGCACAATCAACACCACGCCGGTCTGCCACCTCCACCTCTGCGTCTCCAACCCTACGAGTGGGAGAAGGTAAATTTTTCCATGCTGCACTGTATAGTTTTGAAATCTAACCTTTGGGCCAAGTAGGTAGAATTGAACCTTCCTAATAAGCTAGACTCTTCTGGTCGCCCTGAAAGTTCCCCAGCAGTTTATATATTTATTTAAATGGGGACACAAGAGGAAATATAAGGTAGGAAAGGGTAAGAGTGAATATTTGGGCTTCTCACCCCTACTTTCATTTTTTTAGGGCTTTAATTCCCGAGCGTGGAGATGTAGATTGATGAATTATTATTGCTAATGATGGTGGGGTATTGACATGGAATTTAACTCTAAACATTGATTCAATTCTTATAAAAACCCAGTAATTAGATGCTATCATTATCTTTCCTTCATAGTTGAGGAAATAGAGGCTTAGAGTCAGATTAGTAGCATACCATTTTTTTATCCAGTTAGTAATGGATTGGGCCAGGTTCCAAAATTAGGCTATTTGTCTCGAGAGCTTTCCCTCAGTTTTTTTCCTGTAATGCCTTCCTGGAATTGTAGTTTTCTGAATACACTTTGGCTATGCAGAGAAGTACTTGGCTACTTCAAGGCACATTTGAGGGACTCATGCCTGTGGCACAGCTGACTGTAGCAGAGCTATTGGAGTCAGGTAAGGAGCTGGAGGCCCATGTGGCTCAGGTAGCTTCGCCTTGCTCATTGCTACAGACTCCACCCTTCCTGTGACTGGACATCCACAGTGTTTTGACATTTTGTAAGACAGTGTAGTTGTGTAAGCGGAGGTCCTTTATAGTTAAGAACCTCTGCCCCTTGTTACCAAGGTAACAGCACATTAGGAAGAGGAAAGGGAAATGTCTGAACATTCCAGGTACATGGTAACCAAGCTGATCCTTCACTTCTCAGAAGGCCTTGGGCAGGTGTTGATTCGTGGCAGTTCAGCTGGAGGCATTCTTTGTAAGAGTGAGCCTCGGAATCATAGAATGTAGGGGCTAGGGCTCAGGTTCCTACATGTTATTGGTAGAGCCCAGATGTGAGGTGCCCTGAATCTCAGGATATTTCCTCTATACTTCACTCCCTTCCATCCAGTTCTTATTCACCAAAGTGAATAAAAGTTCTATCAGGAAATAAAAAAATTCCCCAAGATCCTTAAGACGGTGTGTCTTGTGTGACTTTTGATGATTTAATCCATCGTAGTCCTATGCAGATAGTTCTGTCCCATTGTCAGAAATAGAACGGCCTTCTGGCATATTAGATAAACCTGTGCCCCAGGTTGCAGACAATGACATTGAGGCCTGTGTATACTGATTGACTTGTCCAAGGATACACAGCTGATTGGTGGCAAACCCAGATCTAGAACGCAAGTATTCTGTCTCCTAAGAGGAAGTAGAAAGAACACAGTCCAGAGTTAAAGGCCTGGATTTGAATCCCAGGACTGACACTTAACCATCTGTGTAGCCTTATTAATAAAACCTTAATTTTCTTGGTTATAAAGGGATTAATATTTACCTATCAGCATTGTTGTAAAGACTAAATTTTGAGCTCTTGTAGTGTTGGGAAGTTCACTTTTAGTAATGGAGAATGCCTCTAATTTAACATAAGTTGCCATTAAAAGGGTACCAAGTAATAGAAGATTTTAGCATCCTACACTAGTTGGCATCAAACTTAGATGTAGAAGAATTAACTCAGTGTCCTCTTATAGTTATGCTATAAATCTGGTGTTCTCATTTTATAGAAGAGATAAGGTTTAGTGAGTATTAAATGATAAGGGATATACATTGTGTAACAGAGTGCCTGACAGATGCTTGATTTACTGGTGTTGCACAAGGCTAATAGGTTGCCCAGCAGATTATAAGAGAACATTGTGGCAATGAAGTCATAGCTGAACACATCGAACCATATATCCTGCCTGGGCTTTAAGAGTGGGATTTATTCGTTAACTTGTTTGATTCTAGTTGTCCATTCCTAAACAAGTCAGTTCCATTCCAGGAAGCAATTAATTCACTAGTGTGAGACTTACAGAATAGGAAGTGACATCTCAATATAAGGCTCAAAAGGGAATTTTATTCCTTGTCCAATAATGAGATATTAAAGGGCATTTACATACATGCAGCTCTGCATGGTTTCAGTCACATTCATTTTACACCTTGAGAAATGTGAGATGCCTTTGGAAATTCCTGGAATTTGGAGTCAGAAGACTTGAGCCTGAATGTCAGCCCTATTATTTACTTGATATTGGGCTTTCTAAACCTCAGTTTCCTTGTCTATATAATGAACATAACACCACTTCTGTCTGATAGAAGACAGAGGTATTGAGGATCAGCTGAGGTATTCTTTATGAAGGGCAACGTGAATCCTAAGAAATGTTGCATTGTTGCTGGAAACCTCAGCTGCCCACTTTGTTTGTGTCCTCTTAGTTCATTAACAAACTTTTGTTAGCCCTGGGGGACATTTAAGGATAGGATGGGCCCGTGGAATAGCCCAGGAGGCAGGAATCATCCTGATTTTTCAAGTACTTGGCCTAGGGCCTAGAAATAATGATAACTCTTCAATATTTATTGAATGAACGAACTCACAGGACAAACACATTTCTCTTTTATTTTCTAGGTGCCGCCTTTGACCCATTTGGAGCACCTTCGAAACCATCAGGCCCAGACTTGCTGGGTTCTTTCCTGAACACGTCCAGTGCTTCCAGTGACCCCTTTCTTCAGCCTACGAGAAGTCCCTCGCCGACATTGATTGGTAAGAAGCATTTCATATTGGGAAATAGATTTCCACAAGGTACCCACAGGTACTTAGTGTTAAAAGCATCATGTAGGTGTTTGGGGTGGGGTGAGGAGAAGCTACATCTAAGCTACATGCATCTCTCTCTTTTGGATGTTAACAATTCATGTTACCATATTTAAAGCTCTGGGTGTCTTATCATAAACAAGCCTGTTTAACTTTGTTTTACTCAGCTTTTCTAAAACTTACTGACTTTGGAATTCTTTTTTGTATTAGAACGACATGCATAGAATTATGGTACCGTTGATTGTAGGGTGTTTATTTTATGTACTGAGAAGGAAGAAAACAATGCTATTACTTTTAGTTGATTGGAAGATGCATCCTAGTTGAAGACATCTTTGAAATGTGGAAAAATGTGAGGCAAGTTAATAAAATGTGATATGAGCATTCCCCAAAATCAGTATGCCACAGAACGAAGTTTAGAATTCAGCACCCTGATGAATTAGACAAGGAAGCTATCTAATTCCAAGTGGCCATTGAGCGCTTGGTACATGGCTAGTCTATTTGAAATGTGCTCTGAATATAAAATAACATCCCACATTTCAACACTCAATATAAAATAAGAATGTAAAATATCTCATTAGTATTTTATATTGATCACTTGTTAATATTTTGAATACATTAGGTTAAACAAAATATATTTCTAAAATTAATTTAACCAATGTCTTTTCACCTTTTTAATATGACAACTAGAAAATTTAAAATTACATCTGTCAGGGTAGTTCAGTTGGTTAGAGTGTTGTCCCT